CAAACACAATAACCTAAATATATGTAAAATTTCCGAAAGTTTACGTTCCTGTTATGACGTCATCCCGCATAATTTTCCGCATAATTCACCCTTTTCTCCGCATAATATGGGGAAAAAGTTCCGCATAATTTTGATTTTTTTCGCGCATAATTCCGACATGCCTGTGTATCTGAGTTATCAGATCCTAGGCTCTACAGTACATACCATGAAGTGTTGTCCCTCCCAAGACAAGTGGTGTCCTGTCACTCTGTCTGGACGTGGGTCGTACCATGTCATTTGCTTGAACCATGCCTACACGTCATTCAGAAAGTGATAAGTCACATATAGTAATAAAATAAGCAGCTACAGTAATATAAATTAAAACAATTGAGCTGCTACATTTAATACAGTAGAGGATACAATTAACTGCAGTCAAACTAACTGTAATTATTCAAACCACGACTGCAGTTTTTATTATAATTATTATTTTTTTTACATATTTTTAATTTACAGAGAAGCTGATGTACAGTCACGGTACTTTTGCGCTGTAACCGTACCATGTCGTCACGGTGATCATGTATTGTTAAATTTTTATTTTTATTTGGAATCCTAGAAGGCGAGGTTCTGTGACCGCGCCGTGTGGTGATCCGTGCCATTGCACAGTGACTGAAATCCGCTCTATATCAACACTGTTTCTTGACCATAGGAAAGGTGCACAGAAGATAGCTGCACTACAATATCACTACACASCTGTACAACCATGTACTACCAACAGATAAACTTATGCACATATCATTAATTAACAATACTAACGTGGTTGCGCTCTTTTCATCTCATTCTTTTTTCGTATAAGTTCTCTCTAAAGAATTTAAAAAAAATTAAGAAACTTCAATGAATAACATTAACATAGGGCTGCCAACTTAATTGAGTATTAATCAGAACCTCAGAMCTCTGTCCAAAGCAAAGTGTATTGTCATTCATCTATCAGCAGTCAAAATCATTCTAATACAGGTGTGTGTGTATGAATTTCYAAWYTTAACCATCTGGATTGTTCCTTGATGTTCACATCAACTTTAAATTCATTTCTCTTAAAAAATGACATTTTCATTCAAACTTTAGAATATAGTTGTAACACATTATTGGTAAAATTGTGATTAATCTGAACTGCTACAGTACATTGTATCAATAAAATTTAAGTTAAGTTATTAA